CCTTCATCCTGCCCTTTGGCTAATTTTGAAAGATCTCTTTCAATTTCCAAGAATTGAGGTGAAAGAGGGAGAAAAGGGCCGAACTTGTCTGCTTTGGGCAATGGCTCCAACCAATGCTGGCTTCGTCTGTGATAAGTAGTACAGAGGCAAAAAGGAAGAAGCATTATTAGAGGTGTGCAAATCTTCCTTTTAAAATCATAAGTCACATGTAATTAATCCAATACTTTTTCGTTTGAATTCTATAATGCTCGGAAGTCAGTTTCCATTTTCCGTGCAAGCGAGGTGAAACCAAAAAGGCTGCCATTCCTCTTTAAATCAAAAAGAGATAGGTTGCCTCTCGCCATAAGAGGAAAGCAGCACAGAATTCTGGGCCATGTCGTTTGGGAAGGTGAGGAGTCCTATAGCAGTGAATGCAAAAGTTCCTGCCCTAAACATTTCCCAGAATTCTGCTCAGCATCAGAAAGCCCCAAACAGGAAAAGGAAGAGCTATTTTTCTTCCATAGCAACAGCCAGCCACGCAGTTTGCAATTCTGTAAAGCGGAGGACCAACATACTTCAATACTAGTAAGTATATTTGTGCTGGGTTGGAAAAAAAATCTCTAAATTGAAGTTCTATTGGGATAGTTGCTGTGGTGTCACGATGCCAGGGCTCTGCCATTATTCAGGCAGAGATAAACCAAACAAACACCCAGTTTGTATAAAACAGTTCAATTAAAACAGCACTTACTTTCTGGCTGTTTTAATAGTCCAAAATATAAAGCTTAAAGATAGCACTCAGCCACAGAATAAACTGAAACTGATAGCAAAAGCTACACCATAGTCAAAAGGTCCAGTGGTCTAATGCTGAGAGTTCAATGAGCAAAGTTCAGGGATCAAGAGTCTATACTGTAGTCCAAAGCCAGTCCAGAGATTCAAAGTTTCGGGGTTCTAAGAGTTCAGGAGACAGGTCAGGATACCGAAAATTCAGAGACCTGGGGGAAAACCAGCAGCATCTGCCACCAAAATAAGACAAATACTTTTTCTCCTGAAGATTAGTCCCAAGGTTAGCTCATCATATCCAGAAACACCCAGCTGCAACCTATCTTTTGCATACCTCCACCCTTAATTGCTTTCACCCATGAACTCTTATTTTCAGATTACTCAGTCCTTTAGAACTAAGACTTACATTAATCCTTCCATCACCAACTGCTAGACCTACCACCACCAAGCACCATCACTGCAGAACATAATACATGACATGTGGGGTTTTTTTTTAAATGTCAAAACATTTTTAAAAATCCCAAAATTTATGAATATTTCTGAAACTTGGGTGGGGGGAATGATCCCCTGTTACCTTGTATCGTTGTATAGAAAATTCAAGGAAATAACTGTAGGTTTTTTAAAAAAATGTTGTTTGTAAAAACTTTGAAAATTCCCCCCAAAATCAGTGGATGAATGAAATATTCTAAAACTTGATGGGCTAACAGTGGTAAATGTGTTCTATAACTATAGTAAAGTTCATGGCAATAGCTCTAACAATGAGGGAGATAGGAGCTCCTGAAGTTTTCCCATTGGCACAATTACTTAACGAAAAGTAACCAAAAACCTGTTAACTTATGATAGTTATGATATGGACCCCATTGTGTTTTAGAAACACTTTAGAAACAATTTTCCCCCACCCCCCAATTTTGTAATGAGTATTGAAACTTTTTTTTTCATTGATCGCACTGGCCTAATCATTATCATTATCAGTGGCAGACTGGATCTAAATATGTCAGTTACCAGGAGACAAAGGGGGCCTACACAACAACTATCTGGCTATCATTTAATTTTTGTAAGAAATAAAATGAGATTTATGTAAAACATGTGTAGGCCTCTCATAACCCCATAAAGGATGTTTAAAAAAAATTAAAAGTATTATTATTATTATTATTATTATTATTATTATTATTATTAAAATGGTAACACAATGTAAATTTTAGTTGCCTAGAGTAATAATATTGGAACTTCTCTTATATTTTCAAGCTTCTAAAAGGTCATTTTCAGCATATTCTAATATTTAAGAGGGCCCACTTGCCATCATCACCACCATCCCATTGTAAATTTCAAACTGTCTCCATCATATCAGCCACCTGTCTTTCTTCAATAGAAAATTTAGGGTAACTTGAACCCCTTCCACACAGCTGAATAAAATCCCACATTATGTGCTTTGAATTGGAATATATGGCAGTGTGTACTCAGATAACCCAGTTCAAGTCAAGGCAAATATTGTGGGGTTTTCTGCCTTGATATTCTGGGTTACTCTCTTCTCAGGCTGGATCTACACTGCCATATAATCCAGAATCTGATCCCAGATTGTCTGCTTTGAACTGGATAATATGGCAGTGTAAACTCACATAATCCAATTCAAATCAAATAATCTGGGATCAGATACTGGATTATATGGCAGTGTAGATCCAGCCTCAGACCCATTCCATACCGTCCCTATATCCCAGGATCCGATTCCAGATTATCTACTTTAAACTGGATTATATGAGTTCCCACTGCCCGATAATCTGGGATACGAAGATAATCTGGGATTTATTTATTTATTTCGTATCAAAAGCATTGCATAAATTAGTATAAAACCAATAAAAATAGAAGGAGAGCAGGTGGCTAAATATCTTTTGACCAAAAACGGGCAACAGCAATGGCATTGGCTGTAGCCTCCAACAATTCTTCCTCTGCACATGAGGCAGGGCATAGTGGACAAGCATACAGGTGCGGAGTTGTCTGTTCTGCTCCACAGTCACACAAGGTGTGGGATTCTTTTAGGTAGTGCCATTTTGCCAGGTTGTCTTTTCATCTGCCCACTCCACTTCTGAGTCTGTTCAGGGACTTCCAAGTTGCCCGTTCTTGGTTTGACCCTGGTGAGGGGCCATCCAATTGGGATTTCCTGGTTTAGCTGCCCAGAGGGATACCCTTGCTGTTGCTGGGGGGACGCCAAGAGAAGTGGTGGTTCTCACAAAGCTTTTCCTTGATTTGAGTCTACTGGGAGGAGGCTGGTAGCCATGTAATGGGTGGTTTTCACAGTGTTTGACCTTATTTCTCTCACATTTAGCAGCAACTCCCAGTCGCACATTTGGGGGGGGGGGGGCAATGCCAGCTATCTTGTAGAGTTTATCAACAGGTGTAGGTTTAAGACATCCTGTGATTATTCTTCATGTTTCATTCAATGCTATGTTCACCTGCTTTGCATGGGCAGACCTATGCCAAACAGGGCAGGCATTTTCGACAGTTCAGTAAGACAAGGCCAGGGCTGACGTTCTTACTAATTTTGGGTTTGCATTCCATGTGGTGTCATTGTTTTTTAAACATTTGATAATCTGGGATCAGATGCTGGGATAGAGGGACTGTGGAATGGGCCGAAGCAAGAAGCAATCGTTATTTTGACAAAGCTGGATGTTATTTTGGATCCGGCTTTGCTGTTTTTGTGAAAAGAAGTGGAACAATGTGGTAAAGAAAAGAAAGTAGGGAAAGTATGTGTATAGATCTTTCCAACACTACTACTACTGTTCAGAAAAAGAAAGAAAAAATTTAAAAAGTTTTTTTTAGTCTCTTTGAACTTCCATTCTAAGCATCTGCGATTGTACATTTCTTAATGATAGTTGCCCAGGGGACGCCCGGATGATTTGATGTTTTTATCATCCTTGTGGGAGGCTTCTCTCATGTCCCAGCATGAGGAGCTGGAGCTGATAGAGGGAGCTCATCCGCCTCTCCCCGGATTTGAACTGCGACCTGTTGGTCTTCTGTCCTGCCGGCACAGGGGTTTAACCCACTGCGCCACCCTGTTGTTGTTCATTTGTTCAGTTGTCTCCGACTCTTCGTGACCTCATGGACCAGCCCACGCCAGAGCTCCCTGTCGGCCGTCACCACCAGCTCCTTCAAGGTCAGTCCAGTCACTTCAAGGATGCCATCCATCCATCTTGCCCTTGGTCGGCCCCTCTTCCTTTTACCTTCCACTTTCCCCAGCATAATTGTCTTCTCTAAGCTTTGCTGTCTTCTCATGATGTGGCCAAAGTACTTCACTTTGTCTCTAGTATCCTTCCCTCCAGTGAGCAGTCGGGCTTTATTTCCTGGAGGATGGACTGGTTGGATCTTCTCGCAGTCCAAGGCACTCTCAGAACTTTCCTCCAACACCACAGTCAAAAGCATCTATCTTCCTTCGCTCAGCCTTCCCTACGGTCCAGCTCTCACATCCGTAGGTGACTACAGGGAATACCATGGCTTTGACTAGGCGGATCTTTGTTGCCAGTCTGATGTCTCTACTCTTTACTATTTTATCGAGACTGGACATTGCTCTCCTCCCAAGAAGTAAGCGTCTTCTGATTTCCTGGCCACAGTCTGCGTCTGCAGTAATCTTTGCACCTAGAAATACAAAGTCTGTCACGGCCTCCACGGTTTCTCCCTCTATTTCCCAGTTGTCAATCATTCTTGTTGCCATAATCTTGGTTTTTTTGACGTTTAGCTGCAACCCGGCTTTTGCGCTTTCTTCTTTCACCTTGATTAGAAGGCTCCTCAGCTCCTCCTCGCTTTCGGAGTATTGGCTATCCCTCCCAATTTGGTGTCGTCTGCAAACTTGTAGTCAAAGAAGCGAGTCTGAGGGCCTCATCACACTATAGAAAAAATCCACTTAAAATCCAGTTTCTGGCTCTTGCAGAATTCTGAGGTTTGTAGTTTAGGGAGGCTGTTAAAGGCTCCTCCCTAAACTACAATCCCCAGAATTCTGCAGGAGGCAGAAACCTGATTTTAATTGGATTTTTCTCTAGTGTGATTAAAGACTTAAGAGTAGGTAGAAACAGCAGACTGGGAGAAAGGAGGTGGGAATGAATGAAGCGCGAGCGCTGTGTTCTGAGCCTGCGCACTGCATACAAAGCCGGCGTGGCCTCTGGCTGATGAAACCACTGGGAGGGGAAGCGTGCGCCTGCGCAGTGCGGAAGTGGGTGGGGGGAAAGGGGCGGCGTCCGGGCTCATAAGCGGCGGTCGCAAGGGGCGGCTCTGGTTGGCTGCGGCGTGCTCCATTCTGTCCTCGCGCTGCCTCTGCTGCTGTCTCGCGCCGCTCTCTGTCTCCAGCCTCTCTCTCTCTTGCGCGCGCGCACTCTCAACCATGGCCAGCTACAGCGTGGAGGAACGCGGCTGCTCCAATAGCCTGGACTACAGGATTTATTTCAGTGAGTCTTTTGCAGGGAAGGAAAGCAAGGAGAGGGGGCTTGGGAAAGGGAAAAGGTGCCCACAGCAGGCGAGTAGGTCTTTCAGTGGTTGCATGAATGAAAGCCAGAGGCTGAGAAAGCTTGCACGCAGACGCCCTGCAAACCAGCACCCTTGAAAGCATCCCTTAGCAGCAATTCCCAAAATACTGGGAGATTGGGGGCTGAGATAGTGACACCTTCACTTTGTGATTCACAAACGTTGTTTCATTCACAACATTACTAGAAATACTGTATATATAATGGTATTCATATCTGTGTATATAAGGTGTATACTCTCTCTCTGTGTGTGTCTGTCTATCTATCTATCTATACTAGCTGTCCCCTGCCACGCGTTGCTGTGGCCCACATGGGGGTTCTTTGTGGGAGGTTTGGCCCAATTCTATCATTGGTGGGGTTCAGAATGCTCTGTGATTGTAGGTGATATATAAATCCCAGCAACTACAACTCCCAAATGTCAATATCTATTTTCCTCAATCTCCACCAGTGTTCACATTTGGGCATATGGAGTATTCTTTTAGAGTTTGGTCCAGATCCATCATTGTTTGAGTCTACAGTGATCTCTGGATGTAGGTGAACTACAACTCCAAAACCAAAGGTCAATGCCCACCAAACCCTTCCAGTATTTTCTGTTGGTCAGGGGAGAACTGTGTGGCAAGTTTGGTTCAATTCCTTCGTTGGTGGGGTTCAGAATGCTCTTTGATTGTAGGTGAACTATAAATCCCAGCAACTATAACTCCCAAATGACAAAATCATAATTTTTTGAGTGATGATCACTCCTTATGCTGTGTGATTTTTGTTGCCAAATTTGGTGTGATTTCGTTCATTGGTTTTTTTGTTTTTAAGGTACTCACTATGCACAGAGTGTGTGTGTATATATATAAGTTTATATGTATGTTTGAACCACAAAGGTGCCTACATGGTTTGATGGAACTGGACCAAACTTGGCTGTTGCTGTTCAAGTGTTGGTACGGTTACGACTTGTATAATTTGCAGAGTTGGTTGATTGAGTTGCATTAATTTCAACAAAATAGATATGTTTCTTATTTTTAAAAAGGAAATAATAATAATAATAATAAACTTTATTTATACCCCGCTACCATATCTCCAAGGGACTCGGTGCGGCTTAAATGAGGCCAAGCCCACAACACATCAATAACAACAAGCAATGCAAAACAATTAAAATAAATCTCACAAACAAAAATAAGCAATAAACATTAACAATAGCACAACAAACATTTATAAACCTATGGCTGGGCCAAATGTAATAATTAAAATTTAAAAAATAATGCTGGGCATGAACAGGTATAACTGGGATAGAATATTCAGAGAGGAATGGGGTGTGCAGACAGTCCTAGGTCAGTAATAAAGTGCATTTAGAGGCCATATTGCTGAGAGTTTCCTTATTCTGGGAAGGCACACTGGAACAACCACGTTTTCAGGCTTCTCCTAAAGACTGCCAGAGTTGGGCATGCCTGATGTCCTTGGGAAGTGAGTTCCAGAGTCGAGGGGCCACCACCGAGAAGGCCCTCTCCCTCGTCCCCACGCAGATTACACCTGCGATGGAGGTGGAAGCGCAAGCAGGGCCTCTCCAGATGATCGAAGAGATCATGTGGGTTCGTATACAGAAATGCGGTCACGCAGGTAGGCGAGTCCCAAACCGTTTAGGCCTTTGTAGGTAAGAACCTGCACCTTGAATTGGGACTGGAAAATGAACAGCAGCCAGTGGAGCTCCTTAAACAGGAGGGTTGACCGCTCCCTGAAAGGAGCACCAGTTAACAACCTGCTCGCCGCCCGTTGAACCAATTGAAATTTCCGGGCCATTTTCAAGGGCAGCCCCACGTAGAGTGCATTATAGTAATCCAATCTGGAGGTGACTAAGGCATGGGCCACCCTGGCCAGATCCGACTTTATGAGGTATGGTCGCAGCTGACGCACGAGTCTTAATTGTGCGAAGGCCCTCCCGGCCACCGCCGACGCCTGAGACTCAAGCGTAAGTGATGACTCCAAGACGACACCCAAACTGCGGACCTGTGACTTCAGGGGGAGTGCAACCCCGTCCAGCACAGGTTGCCACCTGTGTTGATCATCATGTTTCTGATAGACCACGTGGAGCAGCTGTAGAAGAAACTACACAAGAATTAACTAGTGTCAAGGAAAATCTTTCAAACCCTATTTGTTATGTGTATATATATAAAAACTTGGTACCAAGCGAATCCTGGGTTATTTGAAAAAGGCATTGTTTGGTTTTGGATGTTATGAATGGGCCCATTTGATATTAGTGCAGATCCATAATGGGGTTAACAGTAGTCGCTGGATGAAGGTGAAGGTGCTGCGAATCCCATCATCCATGGACCACCCCCCCCCCACCCCCCAAAAAAAACTTCACCAGGACGTAAAGTGCATCATGGGGGATCTGTATCCCAAATTTGGTCCACAATTCATGGCGGTCACAGTGATCTGTGGAAGTGGATGAAGGTCCTGCAGATCCCATCATAGCTATTTTGTTGAAATTAATGCAACTCAATCAATCCGTGGTCCATCCTCCCCCAAACTGATTCAGAGTATGCCTCTGCCCCATAGGATAAGTTGGGTGGGGTTAGGCAAGCTACTTTCTCTTTCACAGGGAAAATCTGCAATCAAGGTTGTAGTAGCCTGCTTTTCTCACAGGGTTGCTCTTAAGGCTCACAACAAGGTAACATACAGGGCAGTAGTTCCCAACCTTTGGGCCTCCAGGTGTTTTGGATTTCAGCTCCAAGATGGCTGGGATTTCTGGGAGTTGAAGTCCAAAACACTTGGAGGGCCAAAAGTTGGGAACCACTGATATAGGGTGTCCCTATATAAATAAACACACACACACCCTTTAATAGTCAACAGCAGTAGTAATGGGTTGTTGTAGGTTTTTTCGGGCTATATGGCCATGTTCTAGAGGCATTCTCTCCTGACGTTTCGCCTGCATCTATGGCAAGCATCCTCAGAGGTAGTGAGGCACTGCCAAGCCATCAAATGCTAGTTAAGGTGGTCAGTTGAAACATTCACACCTAGCTTCAGCAGACAAGAGTCCTTTGTCTCACCCTGGTCATTCCACAGATATATAAACCCATTTTCGTAGTTCCAACAGACCTCACTACCTCTGAGGATGCTTGCCGTAGATGCAGGCGAAACGTCAGGAGAGAATGCCTCTAGAACATGGCCATATAGCCCGAAACATCTATAACAACCCAGTGATTCAGGCCATGAAAGCCTTCAACAGTAATAGTAGTAATAATAGTAATAATAATATTTATTTATACTCCACCACCTTCTCCCCAATGGGGACTTGGGGCGGCTAACATGAGGCTGAGCCTAAAAAGAATACAATGAAATAAGATACAAAACAACAGAAAAGTAAACACAACAAAATACATAATGTAACAAAACAAAATAGACAGTGCAGAATAATATAATAAGATCAATCAGATAAGGCGGGCCAAATGTGCAAGATAAAATGATAAAAACATTAAAACCCTGGATGAGATAGGAAATAGAAAAAGTGTGTTTGTAAAGTAAATATATTCACTTATCGGAAGGCTAAGTGAATATATTTACAGTAGACGCTGTTAACCCGAACTCAAGCAGGCAGAACTCTTAAGCAACTGGCAAAATGATTGAAGAAATAACACATTAAGTAAAAATTAAAATTAGTTTTAATGGAACTGTGTTTAAGTTAAGCTTGTCTGTATTTGTTTTTAATTACTGTACAGGCAGTCCCCAAGTTAGGAACAAGACAGGTTCTGTAGGTTTGTTCTTGAGTTGAATTTGTATGTAAGTCACAACAGGTACATTTTTAAAGCCATACACACACACACACACACACGCACATTCTTTAGCATTGGATAGCATAGGGAAGGTTTGACACCCTTATTTATTATTTATTTATTTACGACATTTATATGCCGCCCTTCTTACCCCGAAGGGGACTCAGAACGGCTTACAAGATATATATACATACAATATATTATATTATTAGCATAGTACAATATCAGTATTATATATTACTATATTGCACTATACCATTTTATTGTAATATTAGTAATACTGCATGTAATATGAATATATAATTATAATATTTTGGAGTTTGTTTTGCTGTTTGTGCCCCTGTTCAGAAAATTAACCTCACTGTGATCATTGGATTTTGAACAATGTGGCTTGTTGTGGAAACAAGGGTTGGTGATGCAGTTTCAGTGGAGACACCTGTTTCCCATGATAACTCTTCCAAGAGTGAATTTCCCTTCCAAGGGGTAGATTTCTCTCACGTCCTGTTGTCTCACCCCATTCTTAGCTATTATTTGCTTGTAAGTCAGGTGTTTGTAACTCGGGGATTGCCTATATTGCAATATTAATATCAATAAGGCCCCACTGGTGATGCAGTGGGTTAAACTGCTGAGCTGCTGAACTTGCTGACTGAAAGGTTGGTGGTTCGAATCCGAGGAGCGGGATGAGCTCCTGCTGTTAGGCCTGGCTTCTCCCAACCTAGCAGTTCAAAAACATGCAAATGTGAGTAGATCAATAGGTACTGCTCCAGCAGAAAGGTAACAGCAGTCCATGCAGTCATGCTGGCCACATGACCTTGGAGGTGTCTGTGGACAGTGCCGGCTCTTCGGCTTAGAAATTGAGATGAGCACCATCCCCCAGAGTCGGACAAAACTGGACTTAATGTCAAGGGGAAACCTTTACCTTGATTATAAAGTCAACACAGAGTTTATGGTTGGGGTATAGTATTATCTCCTGCATATGTCATCAGTTGGGGACCCCTCTCCCCAGGTCCAACTGCTGCTCTGGGCCAGAGTGAAAAGAGAGGGGAGCAGAAGACAGTTCCAGCTTGTCTCCTGTGCTAATCTAATAATATGATATAATGTAATATAATACAATATATTGTATATACATATGATATTTATAATATTACTAGCTGTCTCTTGCCACGC